CCCCCCCTTCCCGGTTTTGTGTGAGCCGCCCTGAGTCCCCTCAGGGAAAAGGGCGGCCTACAAATGCTAATAAACCACTAAACCACTAAACCACTCCCAAAGTCTCCCCCACCCCTCAGGCATACCATACTGTATTTTCTGCCTCTCAGAGTCCCCACAAGCCTTGGGCCTACTTTCACACCTCAACAAGTCCCAGTCTAGGATGTCCACTTTATCCTGTGGTTATGAAATGCATTCTTGGTACAGCTGATATTATGTGGATGTTATTGTATCAGAGGTGGTATTCAGCAGGTTCTGGAGAACTGGTAGTGGAAATTTTGAGTAGTTTGGAGAACTGGTAAATACCACCTCTGGCCCCGCCCCATCTACTCTCTGCCTCCTGAGTCCCAGCCGATCTGGAGAAAATGGGGATTTTGTAGTAACCTTTCCCTGGAGTGGAGTGGGAATGGAGATTTTACAGTACCCTTCTCTAGCTACACCCACCAAACCACACCCACTAAACCATGCCACGCCCACCAAGCCATGCCCACAGAACCGGTAGTAAAAAAAATTGAATCCCACCACTGTATTGCATGCCTTGCTGGTATTCTTTCCCATGTGCTATTTAGTACAGATAGCATTTTGGAAAATTACCACTGTTAAGATGTTGCTTCATACTTGAAAAATATTCCATGTAATTTATGGGAATGGGAAACCCTAAAGAAGCAAAATAAAGCCAGAAGAAAATCATCGAGATACTCTTTAGCTGAAATACCATATGGCCATGATGGCAAACCTATGGCATGTGTGACACAGGTGGCACACGGAGCCATTTATCAGGGCACGCGGGAGGGTGAAAAAAAGCATGCCAAAAATGGGAGGGAGAGCTGGTCATGCGTGCATGCATGCTGGGGTCATGTGCATAGCATTATGGATGTGGCACACCGGCTCACGACCCCCACTGCGTTCCCTCCACTTTTGGCACGCGAGCCAAAAAAGGTTCACCATACTGCCATATGTTCTAATATGATAATAACGACCACAATGATAAATTTAACATAATTCTTTCTGAAATCTGATTTTGGTTTCACCAGAAACAAATTCTAAAGTTTTAAGCAAAAAGCACTTCATAAAAATTAATTATGGTCAGAAGAGATTTGGTGGACAATGTTGTGCAAATTAATGAACTGAATTCCAGTCTGTTGAATGACTCAGTGTGTGGGGGAAAGTGTGCTTTAATGTTTGCTACTTATTGAAGCTTTATATAAAAGCTGTTCTTCCTGGTTGCTACCATGGTCTAATCTCTTTCTGAAGCAATATAATTAGAACTGTAGAAAGGAATGACCTTTCTCAAAATCTTTTTTTTAAAAAAATATTCATGCAAACTTTGATACCCAAAGCACATTGAAGTACTGAAACAAAAAAAAACCCACCAGAGGACTG